CTTATTTTCACCCCTACTTCCTCACAGTGCCTCTGGGGGGGAGGAGCATACCCATCTCTCCCGGTCTCTCGTATGTCAGGTGACCGTTTTCGACCAATGGGTCCTGGTCGAGCGTCCTTTCTCCTCTTTCTCGCATATCACGTGACCGCTTTCGGCTAATGAGATTCTGGTTGGGCGTCTCCCGTCCTTCGTGACGTCTCCAATCGGGCGTGGCCTATCCCGGCTTTGTTCTGGGAAAGAAACACCTTGCTAAAAAAAACAAAATCCAATTTGGCCTTTTTCGCACGCACGAAAATGACAATCTCGGCCTTTTCACCTTTTTGGTTTTTGTCAAAACAGCCCGCCGCTAATTAGATGTGACTTCAGGAAGAATTTTTCTCGTCTCGCTGGCGCTTTCTGTGAGCCAAAACAATTGTTTTCATTCCTTTATTTTCGTTCAGGCCTGACAGTCAAAATCTTAATTATCTGAATTGAAAATATCTTCACTTCATCATCGTGGGGTTCTAATCTTCAACAGGTCAGGATCTGTATACAATTCCAGCGGTCACCTTCTCACCCAAAGAGACACCTTTCCGATTAATATTTCGTTTTCCATTGTTCTAAAAATCCCATTTCTCCAAATTGATAATGAGCTTCTACATTCCGTGGACACAAAAAGTAGGCCAGATGTTTTGACCGATATTTTTATCAATCGTACGTATGTTCATCCACTTTTACCATGTCCGTTCATTATCTCTAAACTTACTCTTTCAAATAACAATTTCCATTGTTCTTGAAATTCGGTCAGGCGCGTTGGCCTAGATATCTCTTGACACCTGTTTTCGCTTATGACCGGCTTATCTATCTATTTCTCCTCCTCTCCTTTTTTTTTCTTCTTCTTCCCTTAGGATCGCCTAAATACAATTAGAGAAATATTCTCAAAACTTAATTACTCTTCGTCTAAATAACTAACAACTGGTTAATAAACCGAATAAAAATTAAATCATATTTCTAGGAATATTTCTTTTTAGTTTTTCTAATAATGCAGGGTGCCACACAAGTAATCATAATACCTCATCTCAGAGATATAGACGGATATTGAAGAAAATTCCAATCCCTTGAAGAAGGCCGGAGTGTACAACGGCCTAAACGTTGTGAATATGGCAATGAAGATGAGGATAACAATGCGAATAATATAAATAATGCAAGTAATCATAATATCTCATTTCAAAGATGTAGAGAGATATTGGAGAAAATTCCAATCACCTGAAAAAGGTCAGAGCGTACAACGGCCGAAACGTTGTGAATAGGGCAATGATGATGAGGATAACAGTTCGAATAATTTAAATAATGCAATTAATCATAATAGCTCATCTCAGAGATATAGAGAGATAGTGAAGAAAATTCCAATCTCCTGAAGAAGGATGGAGCGTACAACGAGCGAAACGTTGTGAATAGGACAATCAAGATGAATGTAACAGCCCGAAAACAAGGCAAGTAATAATATCTCATCTCAGAGATAAAAGCATATAGCGAGGTAGATATGAACATAAATAGAGAGAGAAATAGACTGATCGATATGAATACAATATTCTATCGTTATTTCCATGGCAAAATTTTAGATTAGCGTACATTTTCTGTTCCACTAGTTCAGATCTTTACAGCTAGAAAACCCTATGCCCATTTCATTTAGTTGCAGCATCTTCCTTTTCTCCGTGTTTCAAATGTATTATGAAACACTTTGTGGTGTAGACTCCCACATGGTTGCTTCCCTGGATATTTTAATCTTGACCTCTTCAAGGCAAAGGTCAGCCGTTTACTTCTGATGATTTTCATTTCCTACCACTCTTTTTCATTATTACCATTTTGAATTCAACGCTCTACCTTGAATGCTTTTCGTGCCTTATAAAATTAAAAACAGAATTTCATATACAAATAAATGAATAAATAAATAAATAAAATAATTTATTAATCAAGTTCATAGTGTCCATTTAAAAAAAAAAAAAGGTTGCTATCCTTCATTCTACAAACTTCCGTAGAAACTTTGTGATTTTTGTTGGAAGAAGGTCGGAAAGTAGTTTTTTGACCGACTGTACAGAGTTATTTTTTTCTCTTTCATTAAAATTGTTCTGTAGAGACGAGAACAAATGAAAACTCGAAGTAGTCAAGTCAAGAGAATTCGGTGTGTGCTCGAGGATTTTCCATTCCGACTCTTTTAAAAGATCTTGCAGCATCCGATCTTGCTCTGTCGTTGCCGGAAGTGATACCTTATCGATTTGCCAAAATCGGCCATTTTATCTTGAATAGCCGCATTCAGATTGGTGAGTTGATCGGAATATTTCTTTGCAGTTATGGTTTCGCCAACTAGAAGAAGCTCAAAGGGAATTATCCCTCTGCAATCCCACCAAAAGGAGAGCAACACATTCAATGTGATGCAAGCCCACATTAACCACGGCCTCTGCTATTTCACAACCTTGTTTCCAGGTCCGTTTGCGCCGAGCGTTCTCATAAACGATCCATTTTTTCATCGCCTGTGAGAAATCTTTCCAAGAACGGCTCCTTGTCGTGGTGTATCAGCAAAGAAATCGCCACAGAATCACGATCTAGTTTGTTCTGTTCCGTCAGAGAATTTGGCAACCACGTGTCGAATTTGACAGCTGGGATATCGATTTTCAAACTCTTAGCACTCTTTTCAAGCTTTCAGAAAAGTAGAGAAAGAATTACTGTTAATATCTTTGGGGAACTTTTTGACCATTCCAAAACCAAAAAAATAATGTTTCATGTATACCTACCTTAATATCAAACGACAAGCTTCGTTGTTTATTTTTTATTTTAACTGATGCTTTATAATCATTTCACTCAATGAAGACAATAAAGCCACTAAGACGTAAGATGATACTGAAAGCGAAGGAAACCGAGAAAATAAGTTTCTGGGGAGAACGGATAATAAAAAGGACAGCATTCAAGGAGACAGAAGATGACAAGTGACGTTGCATTTAAGTTTTTGAAGACCACAACTAACAGAAAAACAAGAAGCCGAGAGAGAAGCCCACAAGTGGGGAGTGCGAGGGAGAAGAAACTATTAGAATAGAACTTCCGGTTCAATCTAGTAATTTCCTTAGTGAAATGAGACCTAGTTGCCAATCCAGCACTGCGCTTAGATTCGTGGAGTCGACAAACCTAAGAGGAGAGCTCATCGGTACAATTTCCGTGAAAATAATTATAGCAAAGGTACAGAGAACCTACGTTACGGCAATGGGAAAGTGATTTAAGCTGATATGCCAGGTTGTGAAATGTGAATGGTGTCACCACTCGTATCCGAGGATAGGGCGGCTAGCTAATCCCCATTGTAGACGCCTGCTCAAGCACATTTGTGTTTGTTCAACACCCACAGAGACCACCTATAGTTTATACTGCTCATCTATGTTGAGCGGACCGTAGTTACAGTTTCCGAGAGAGAGAGAGAGAGAGAGAGAGAGAGAGAGAGAGAGAGAGAGAGAGGGAGAGAGCTTCATCAAGCGTGATCAACGGCACGTTCAAACCCTCGATCACGATGACTTCGTAAAGATTACTAATACTACTACTACTACAGCAACGATCATCATTACTACTATTACAAAGATGATTGCTACAAAGACTACTACTGCCTCTACGATAACAGCAACTACTACTATAACGATTACTACTATTACAACGTTTATCATTACTACTACTGCCAAAACGATTATCATTACTACTACTACCAAAACGATTATCATTACTACTACTACCAAAACGATTATCATTACTACTACTGCCAAAACGATTATCATTACTACTACTACCAAAACGATTATTATTACTACTACTACCAAAAAGGTTACTACTACTACTACCAAAACGATTATTATTACTACTACTACTACCAAAACGGTCATTATTACTACTAGTACTACCGAAACGATTATTATTAATACTACTACTGCCAAAACGATTATTATTGCTACTACTACCAAAACGATTATTATTATTATTACTACTACGACTACTACTACTAAAAAGGCCATTATTACTACTACTACTACTACTGCATTGGTTATTATTACTACTACTACTACTACCAAAACTATTATTATTACTACTACTACCAAAACGATTATTATGACTACTACTACTAGCAAAACGATTATTATTAATACTACTACTGCCAAAACGATTATTATTCCTACTACTACCAAAACGATTATTATTACTATTACTACTACTACTACCAAAATGGGCATTATTACTACTACTACTACTACATTGGTTATTATTACTACTACTACTACCAAAACGGTTATTATTACTGCTACTACCAAAACGATTATTATTGCTACTACTACCAAAAAGGTTACTACTACTACTACTACTACCAAAATGATTATTATTACTACTACTACCAAAACGATTATTATTACTACTACTACCAAAACGGTCATTATTACTATTACTACTACTACCAAAACGATTATTATTAATACTACTACTGCCAAAACGATTATTATTGCTACTACTACCAAAACGATTATTATTATTACTACTACTACTACTACTACCAAAATGACCATTATTACTACTACTACTACTACATTGGTTATTATTACTGCTACTACTACCAAAATGATTATTATTACTACTACTACCAAAACGAATATTATTACTACTACAGCAACAACATCTACTGTGCCAAATATAACAACAACTACTGTTATAACGATTGTGTAAATGACGCAGCCACTTGTATCCGAGGATGTCAGTCAACTAGGGCGATTAGCTAATCCCCATTGCAGACGCCTGTCCGGTCACATTTGTGTTTTTCAACAACCACAGAGCCCATATATAGTTATACTGCTGAGCGGACCGTAGCTACAGTTTCTGAGAGAGAGCGCGTCATCTAGCGTGATCAACAGTGTGAACATCACTAGTAAACCTTCGGTCACGATGACTTGTGACTTCGAGCTAGCACATGTCAGGTTAGAACCGATAATATTTCGGCAAAACTAAGTGTCAATCTAGTATCACGCTTCAGTTCATGATATCAAGGTACCAAAGCATGCTTGTCAGAACAATTGCCATGAAAATCTTTATAGTAAAAGACACAGGGAATTTTTTTACCATAATATTCTTTTTAGGATCATAAAGGACACAGAAAACTTGCCGGAAACTGTGAATTATTGCCCGAAACTGTGGTGTTCATTCAGTATTATAGCTATGTCCTTCTGCAATCTTTGCAACAATCAATCGTAGCGAAATTTCAAATGTTATATGTCAGTTAGGGGAACGATCAAACATTTTTTTCTCTACAACAAAGTGGCATCTATTCCTCAGCTTTACACCATTTTATCTTCTGAGAGCTTTCATAGGAAAGTTCTATTTTTGACTAGCATAAGCATTCTGGGACACTCATCATTATCATCAAAACTGTTTCGATTTGTGGTCATCATCAGTGACATTGTATACCGATTCGACAATATTTCGCCAACCTTCTCTGTTCTCTGCGAGTTTGCGGATTTGTTAAAGATCTTCCTTGATTGTAAACTTCCCCAAATGAAAAGTGGGATCTTTCTGCCTTGTTCTTCAAATGTCTCCATTCAGCGTTGTTATATGGTGGTTCCTGGATGACCTCTGAACTTTTAAAAGTCAGTCTTTTCAAAGTAAAACATCATGGATTTGTTATGTGGGCATTCTGGATCCATTCGCAAAATATATTCAAGAATCATGACGTTGGAAGTTCAATAGCATTTTCCGAAGACTGTTTTTCTCAGTAAGCAATGTTTTAAATAAGTAGTTACTGCATAGCAGTAACTGGAGCAGCCATTACCTATTATGAATTCTTTCTTTCTTTCTTTCTTTCTTTCTTTCATTCATTCATTCATTCATTCATTCATTCTTTCTTTCTATCGATTCACCTTTTCTTTTTCTATCATTCCTAAATTCCTTCATTTTGCCATCTGTTCTTTCTTTCTTTCTTTCTTTCTTTCTTTCTTTCTTTCTTTCTTTCTTTCTATAGATCACCTTTTCATTTTCTCTCATTCTTACATTCTACCATTTTTCCATCTGTTTTTTCTTTCTTTCTTTCTTTCTTTTTATAGAATCGCCATTTCATTTCTGTCATTCCTGCTGTCCATCATTTTGCTACCTGTTCTTTCTTATTTCTCTTCTTCTTTTTCTTCTTCTTCTTCTTCTTCTTCTTCTTCTTCTTCTTCTTATTCTTTCTTTCTTTCTTTCTATAGATTCGCCTTTTCTTTTTGTGTTATTATTACGTTCCGTCATTTTGCTATCTGTACTTTCTTTCGTACTTTCTTTCTTTCTTTCTTTCTTTCTTTCTTTCTTTCTTTCTTTCTTTCTTTTTAATCAATTAACTACAAGTATCGTCGTCTATCTCTTCATCTGGGATCAATATGTCCGGCATATTTCAAATGATACCATCCACCACCACCCTCTAAATAGCTTCCCTTGACGCTCTTCTCTTTCCAATGGACATCATATTCCAGTTACCTCCCCTTTTCCCCAACAAGGATAGCGTTCATTAACCAATACTAATTCTCTCTGCAAGGCGCTGTTTGACTCTAAATCACCATCAGAGACAAAATAGAGCAAAACGAAACGAATGGCGCTTATTTGTTGTTTGCATTGATATTTTGCTTTAAATTTCTTTCTCAAAGGATCAGGTTTTGTTATCCGTCCATCATGTTTTAGACCAGTGACATATGAAACGCCGATTTGAAATCCTCCCTCGCATCTCACGTTGTATTGATTAAGGTTCTTTTTTTTTTTTCTTCAAATCATTAACAAAATACAACGATAAAACTTCAAATATTAAGAGTTTGGGGTTGAAATGGATAACAATATCAATAAATAAGTAAAAGCCTTACGAAAAAAAAAAAAATAAATAAAAAATAAAAATAATCAAACTGAGTAGCCCAAATCACCCAAGGAAAAAAAGAAACAAATTAAAAAAACAGATTTCGTTTACTTCGGAATTATTTATGGAACTTACGATATCAGGGAAGGGTTTATTAAATTGAATCATTGAAAAGATTATTCCTTGTAGTAGCCTATTCAATGAGAAAGGCTATTCGTCTCTGTGTATGTGTATATGTGTCCAGCTCAGACACCCAAAACTACAATATTGAGACACTTAAAGCGCGGTACTCAAAAGTAACTAAAGAGACAAAATTTATAACTATAGACGCCATCAACCCAGAATATAGTTTGTTGAAATAGTTAAAGAAAACTGAAAACCAGCAGCAGACAATTTATTTTTAAATTCTCCCCAGAAATCAGAAAAATGTTATTTATTGTTTCATTCCAAATTATTATCGCTTGTTATCACAACATTATTAATCAATACATTACATTCTTCATTATCATTGTTATTATTATTATTATTAGAAAAGGTTGTCATAGTTTTATTCTACGTTATTATTGTTACTGTTTATCCTAACACTCTGTCTTAGTACACTCTTCAGTATTACTTTATTTTATGACTAGTTTGATTCCATCTTATTATTGTTGCTTTTTTATCCCAACATTCTGGCTCTATACACTCTTCATTATTACAATTATTTCATTAATAGTTTTATGACCGAAACACGGCCGTAACGTTGTGCTAAATATGGCGACAAAGGTGAGGACAATACTCCGAATAAATTAAATACTGTACATAATACCTCATCTCAGAAATATAGACAGATACTGAAAGGCCGAAACTTTGTGATAAATATAGCGACAAAGATGAGGGCAATAGTCCGAATAATGTAAATAGTGTACATAATACCTCATCTCAGAAATATAGAGAGATATTGAAAGGCTGAATCGTTGTAATAAATATGGCGACAAAGATGAGGACAATAGTCCGAATAATGTAAATAGTGTATATAATACTTCATCTCAGAAATATAGACAGATACTGAAAGGCCGAAACTTTGTGATAAATATAGCGACAAAGATGAGGGCAATAGTCCGAATAATGTAAATAGTGTACATAATACCTCATCTCAGAAATATAGAGAGATATTAAAAGGCTGAATCGTTGTAATAAATATGGCGACAAAGATGAGGACAATAGTCCGAATAATGTAAATAAATAATGGAAATGAAAGGCTGAAACAAGGACAAAATAGTCCGAATAATGTAAATAGTGTACATCATCTCAGAAATATAGACAGATAGTTATAATTATGTAGCGATTTCTAGCATGTTTTAAATATGTTAAAAAAATTATATATATATATATATATATATATATATATATATATATATATATATATATATATGTAGTGTGTGTGTGTCCCATAAGTTTCCATACATGTGGTTTTTAACATTATATGTTTTTATATTTCAGATAACTGAGAAGATGCGTTTGAACAAGAATACAGGGAAACACAATTATTTGACAAATTTTCTGTTGATGGAAATCGTAATGCTCATAAATATCTTAAAATCTTTCTAGAAGAGATTTTTACATCCCTGATAAACTAGGCTGGTAACTGTCCAGTTCACTGTCAGCAAGTTGAAGCTCCATATCATTTTTTGCTATTCACATACATCAGTGGTTAGATCCGCAGTTTCCAGGTGCTTCGATTGGTTAGTGGGGTCCTGTGGAGCGACCTCACAGATCCCCAGACCTTACCCAACTTGTTTGTGTCATTTGGGAGCATTTGAAAGCCATGTTGTATCAGGAAAAGATACAAAACATAAATCATCTCAAATAACGTATCACCAACGCCATTACAAGCATAACTCCAGCGGTGCTTGGGCGTGTTCTTCACCAGTGGAGGGCAGGCATTGATGATGGTTTGGTTTGGTTTGTTTCATGGCATATCAACCTCAGTGGGTCATTCAATGCCGACAAGATTTTTATTGCAGGTAATATCTATCTATCTATCTATCTATCTATCTATCTATCTATCTATCTATCTATCTATTTGAGCCTATTCATTATCTATCTATCTATCTATCTATCTATCTATCTGGTGGGGCTGGTAGGATTTGGTTTGTTTTGTTTTACGGCATATCAACCTCAATGCGTCATTTAATGCCGACAAGTTTTTTTTCCTGGTAATATTTTGTTTTGTCAAAAATCTATTTCTGGTAATATTTTTTCTCAAAAATGTATAACTGGTAATATTATTTTAAAACATGTATTGCTGGTAATATTTTTTTTTCAAAAACGTATTGCTGGTAATATTTTTTTTTTCAAAAATATATTGCTGGTAATTTTTTTTTTCTTTAAAAATTTATTTTTGGTATTAATTTTTTACAAAGTATTTATGGTAGTAAAACCTATTTTTACGCTTTTATAATGCTTTTTACCTCAGTTTCGGGGTTAACTATTTGCGGTCGGACGTAGTTTATCGTATTACCCTGGACGCGGATGTAGTTTATCGTCATACCCAGGACTGACGCATTGATGAGTGTTTTCAAAAGAATAGTAGTCATGTAGGGTATATTATACAAATAAAAATACTTTTCATATAAAAAGGTTTATTTTACCTATGTAATTTATGGAACTCTCTCTCTCTCTCTCTCTCTCTCTCTCTGTATATATATATATATATATATATATATATATATATATATATACACACATCATACACACTCCCAAAGAACTAAATGATAACATACACTTACACACACACACACACACACACACACACACACACACACACACACACACACAAGCACACACACACACATCCTCTTTCCAGCAACCAATAAAACTGTCAAAATGACCAAGAAAGAAATTCTGAGTCACATGAATCTCCCCAGCCTCTATCTTAAAAACAACTTAAAAGAGGCCGTTTGTCCAGCACTAGGACTGATCGATAAAAGAACAAATGAAAACTACAGATAAAGTTCAATTTCTTCAGAAAGCCATTCATTCCTGTAGTTTACTGCTACTAACAAGCAGGATTTTTTTCTCCTGATGATGGACATGCTGGCCGAAACCAGTCTAGGACCCTAATTGAAATAATAAAACAAAACATACTAATATACAACCCAGTGTATGTGAAAATTTTAATTTTTTAATTTTTAATATTTTTCTTTTTCAAAACACACACATATATATATATATGTTTGTCTGTGTGTATGAGAGAGAGAGAGAGAGAGAGAGGAGAGAGAGAGAGAGTGAGTGAGTGAGTGAGTGCGTGTGTGAGAGTGAAACCCTATTTAAAATTGTATAAAAATTCAATAGATCTCAGTAATATCCCAAAAAATTTTCAATTCTGTGCGAAAAAAGAACGCATAGAAATCGACACATTTTTTGTGTAATGCTACGCTCCAAATTCAAATTTAAACATTAGCATTTATAAACCAATCAAAGCAATGAAATTTCAGACGATCACATGTGTGTTGTCTGCTACAAAATTCGAGAGGTCACTCTAGAAAATAATTAACAAAATTTTCCCTTCTAAAAAATTGCCCTGGGTATGACGATAAACTACATCCGTGTCCTCGGTATGACGATAAACTACGTCCAACAACAAGGTCTGTGATAATACGTTTTTGAAAAAAAAATAATGTTGCCAGCTGTACGTTTTTGAAAAAAATAATATTGCCACCTATACGTTGTTTTTAAAGAATAGTGTTGCCTGCTATACGTTTTTGAAAAAAATAATATTACTAGCTATAAGATTTGAAAAAAATAATATTACTAGCTATACGTTTTTGAAAAAAATAATATTACTAGCTATAAATTTTTGTAAAAAATAATATTAGTAGCTATAAGTTTTTGAAAAAAATAATATTACTAGCTATAAGTTTTTGAAAAAAAATAATATTACTAGCTATACGTTTTTGAAAAAAATAATATTACTAGCTATAAGTTTTTGAAAAAAAATATTATTACTAGCTATAAGTTTTTGAAAAAAAATAATATTACTAGCTATAAGTTTTTGAAAAAAATAATATTACTAGCTATAAGTTTTTGAAAAAAATATTAACACCAGCTATAAGTTTTTGAGAAAAAAATATTAACAGAAATAGATTTTTGACAAAACAAAAATATTACCAGGAAAAAAAAAAGTTGTCGGCATTAAATGAACCAATGAGACTGATATGCCGTAAAACAAAACAAACCAAACCAAACCAAACCTCCTAAAATATAAATAGTTTAAAATCAAGAAATATATTTATTAACCATTAAACTTCTAGTTTTTAGCTTCATTCATTTTCTTATATATATCGTCGCGTAAATTCACAAAGTCAGTTTTCAGTTGTTCGGTAAACCATTGACCCAATTGTTGTACGCCATGCTGATTATTTCCCTCTCGTATAATTGAATATAAGCATTCTTGCAATATCCTTCCACATTTTAAAGTAAATTATACCACACGAAAAACATTACGAACGAAGATATGTAAAAAAAAACGAACATTAGAAGTAGTAACAACATAGAGATGATTGTTGACTGCTGGAAAATTACAAGCATACATAAAGCAACGCAAATACGTGGCACTCGCATTAAGTAATCGCATTCACATTTTTCCTCATACTAACGCAAGTCATTTCTGTTGTGTAATAAAAAAATAAAAAGTAAATATTTATCGTTGAACCTTTTGAGGAAATTTGTAGCTCATTTCTTTCAATTTGATAGAAAATAACGGTTTTGTACGCAATAATAAAAATTATTTAAATTTGCAGAGCTGCGTTAGAAGATTGTTTCTTTTCGCACATTTTTTCCTACGTTTTCCCCTACACACACACAAACACACACACACAAACACACACACACACAACGTTGTAAATACAGCAATGAAGATGAGGATAAAAGTCCGAATAATGTAAATAATGGAGGTAATCACAATACGTCATCTCAGAGATATAGAGGCCGATATGTTGTGAATGTAGAAATGAAGATGAGGATGACAGCCTGAATAATGTAAATAATGCAAGTAATCATAATACCTCATCTCAGAGATATAGACAGATAGAGAGATGGATATGAACATAAATAGAGAGAGAAATAGACTGATCGATATGAATAGAATACTTAAAATGGAATAAAGGGTTCGGTTTGAAATTTCAATCACCTGAAGAAGGCCGTAGCGTACAATGTGCGAAACGTTGTGAATATGACACTGAAGATGAAGATATTAGTCCGAATAATGTAAATTATCATTGATATCTATGTTAGTTTTTTTTTTTCATTTTATTAAAGCATTTGGGGTCGGGTAAAGCAAGTACAGACGTATGAGGGTCAAGCAGATCAGTTCCCAAGAAACCAACAGCCCGACAACAGCACATGAGATTTGATTATAGTGGTGAAGGCCTCGTGCAGGACCATCCATACTTTTTGAAGGGCCGAATACAGAGATCTGGTGCACTAAGTGCCACAAGGTCCCCAAACGACCCTCCGCATGTGTGTATATATATATATATATATATATATATATATATGCATGCGCACAGTGGAGTAATGGATAGCGGCTTGGATTCTTCAAGCCTTCTTTCTTCATTATGTGTTCCAGAAATTTAACTGTCTCTTTCTGATTCTATGTATAAGTGACTTTTTTGTTACAATTCCCCTTAAAACTTCACAATTTCTCACATGCTCCGACCATGCTATTCACAGAATTCTTTTAGACAATCACAGCTCTGTCGCTTTCCTTTCATCTGTGAGGAAATTTTCCAGCATTTCCCACAGGAGGGTTGATCTTACAAACAGTAAACCATTAATTTCTCAACCTTTTTACCCTTGCGTAACCCTTAAAATAAATTACATGTCTCAAGGTACCCCTGCGCAAAAACAAAATTATATACCATATCTTTCTCATTTTATTTTCCTCAAAGTTCATGTGGTATATATCATAGTATTTATTTTTGAATGACTGGTTTAAGGAAAAATTAATACTTCTTTATCAAATTTTTTGGTAATGCTAAATAAAATTCATATTGTTCGTTTATAATCAGGAGTTTTCATTCACAGAAAAACATTTCTAAACTCAAACGTAAAAAAATAAACCTAAGTAACCAATATCATATAAAATATAATATAAATGTAAATAGAACGAAAACAGATAATTATTGCATCATTTTTAAAAAGAAAATTTATTCTTTACTGGCAATGATGAAAAGACATAAGGTAAATCAAGGCAAAATGTCCGATGAACCAATAAATAGGCTAAGAATTTTTAATAACATAATAACATTAGATAGGATGATGTCTATTTATTATATTACAATATAGTTCTACCTCGGTTCTGAAAAGTCTCAAATGTCGAACAATTCGGTTTTCGAACGGAAAATTCTGGATGAAAATACATCAGTTATCGAACAAAATTTCGATTTTCGAACAAGATTGCAAAACCGGATTAACTCAAACGGAATCATATCTGAGCTGACCGTATACATTCGAGTGTTTTCTCTTTTTTTTTCCAATTTTATTGTACAGTGACTTTTTTTTTCTCTACATTGATTCCTATTGGAAAAATAGTTTCGATTTACTAATATTTCGGGTTACGAACGGCCTTCAGGAACGAAATAATTCGTGAACCGAAGGTCCATTGTATTACAATAACCAAAAATATGTTGTGTGTGTTTATTAATATTACGTATATGAAATTTAAATAAAAAAATCTAAACTGCATTAGCTTATCTCACCTGTTCTCGATTCGAAACAAAAGTGAAGATCATGAGACAAGGTGTAAAATTTATTAACGACGCGTTTCGCCGAGAGCGTCTGATCACTTTGGCTTCCTCAGTTTAGAATGAAAGAAAGACAAAACTGTGTCTGAGAGAAAATGACTTGAGATCTTTAAGGAAACGCAATGATTATAAAATAAATTAAATTAAATTAAATTGTCACTTTCAATGTCCCAAAATTCAAGAGAGTGTCTGACCACATATTGTTTGTTTTTTTAATCTTTATTAGAGTCGTTTAGTGTTGATGGATTTCAAATATATATATATATATATATATATATATATATATATATATATATATATATATATATATATATATATATATATATATATATATATATATATAT